TCCACAGACCCCTGCCAGCCTGTGACCCGCTCTGGGCCCCACCAGTGCTGGCCCTGGGACATTGGTCCCAAGACATTGGGATGTTGGTCCCAAGATGGTGACCAGGGGGCGGGACACCTATCAAGGGGTGGGGCTACCCATGCATACCTCAACAGCCTGCCAAAACTGGGTAGAGTGGCCCTCCACCCAAAATAATTGCCTGCCCCTGGGCTATGATCAAGGAAGTGAATCAGGTTTTTTCCAAAGTTTCATTTTACTCCGTGTCATCTTGAACTGACTTTTTACAGTACTGTACTATAGATATCCACTTCAAGGAAATGGAAACAGAAGGGCTGAGAATCAGTAAGATACACTGCCTGTGAACTTGGCTAACTCGCAGGTTTGTGTGTTCCTAATTAATATTCTTTTTCCTCAGAGTCTTTGTTTATCAACCCTCCATTGCTTCATCTAATTTTTTAAGGGTGACCTTAGGCTTACTCTAAAAAAGACTTTCGGCTTTGTGTTATACCACAGACAATTATGTATCAACATTAAATAAATGCGAATTCCCTGCTGAATCTGAAGTTCTACCATCTGAACTTCCCCGCGTCAGAAAGGTTCCATAAGAAAAGAAACATAATGCTAGATATCAAATTGAAACCCAGTGTACCAAGATCATTCATATGCAAATATTGAGGTAGAGGGGAGTATTTTGTTAGCTGTCCCAGGAAGAGGACTTTAAAAGGAGAAGTAACTTGGGGAGGTGCCAATGAATCAAATAGTCAACTTATTCTATGTAAATATAAAAAAAAATACAGGAAGTGTAAGAGGGAAGTCTTACTTTAGGATTTCCGGACCTGAAAACATCAGAAGATCATGCAAAGCTTTAAACAGGAAGCTCATGAGGAAATATGGTCCAAAAGTTTTATATAACACCTTAAACAGAGAGGCCTCAGATTTCTTTTGAGCAGTTTTGATAATCAAAGCTTCAGCCTCTTCAGTCACATCATGATTTGAGCCATTTGATTTTGATGGTTTTTTGGGTGAATACACAAGTTTCACTGGCTGCCTGCAACAAAAAGTAAACTTTTAACAAAAAGTGACTATTCTACCAAAGATCAGAGTTAAGAATGAATAAAGATCTATAGTTGGTAAGGTGGGGAGGTGGTAAGGAGCAGACGCAGACATTTACGAGGCCTGCAAGTCACCACTGTGATAACTTGCCATCGTTTTTTATTCAGTAGCTGCAAGTGGCCCCGAACCAGGAGATGGTAATTGCCGAGCCTTCTTTTGGACTTGATGTTTTACTAAACTGAGTAATCCGATTGTAATCCATACCTTAGCTAGAGTATTTTAGAGTTATGGGGAATATTCATCTCAAGACGAATACAGACTTTTGAGGTACAATTCAATTACCCAAAAGTTGTGCCAATAAATTTATGAATTACACAGATTCAAATAAAAAAAAATTCATTATTTATATTATTCAGTGCTGTGCAGAGGTAGACTTGTTCTCTTAAGAGTTTACAGTAGGGGTGGGCAAAATACCTGCCTGCCAAGGAATTTTATCCAGTCTACAAAGGGGTCCCTCAGCTCTGCCCGTCCCAGGCGTGGGGGGCAGCCCAAGCTGTGGCACATGTGGCTGGTCCCACCACCCCCAGACACAGCAAAGCTAGGGCAACATGGTGGCCAGTCTACGCTTCCTGGCAGCCCTGCAGCACCAGCTCCTTCCAGCTGCCACTGCCAGTGTTGCTGCCACCACTGGACCCAGCCCTGCTGCCCAAGCACCCTGGCCCATGGGCCCTGTACCCACTGCCAGGGGCACTGAATGCAGCAGACAGGTAGGGCCTCCATAGAGAATGACATGGGACCCATGTGGACAGGGAGCATGCGGCTCGGTGGATGGGATGGGGCTGCAGGCAGGCAAAGAATGGCATCTGGGGGTGGGACAGACGGGCAGGCAGGGTTGGAGCTGGGGCCAGGGCCAAGCCATAATCCACTTCACACATGTCCCTGCAACAACAGCTGATTCCACATGCTGGGAATGAATCACAGTTCTGCCCTGGGGCCCAGCCCCACATTGTCACCACCCTACAATCCTGGCCTTAGCCTTTCTGCCTGCGGCCCCATCCCATCTGCCCAGACAAGCATGTGCCGCCCCTGGGAGCCTGAGCTGGTCTCCATGGAGAACCCGGGGCCAGGATTTCTGGGCAGTGACAGTATGGGGCCAGGTCCTGAGGCAGAGCCACTTAAGAAGTTTTCGTGAGCTTCTGTGAGCAAAAAAATGGCTCACCCCAGTTTACAGCCTAAAAATTAAAACTGTGCCAAGCCAGCCTTCAGAGTTGAACAAAACTGCATTCAGTTCTACACATCTGGTTTATGCCAAAGCATACCATTTTCTACAGTATATCACAACAGGTGTTGTACAAAACTATGCTTGTGTATACAATTCGAAAAATAGCATAAAACCATTTTTTCTTCAGTAAGTGAGCACTTCAGAATGCCAGGATGATGGAAGCATGAGAAAATTTTGATACACAATGAATATTATGGCATCTTGTTTTGGATCATTTGCCACCAATGTTTACAGAAGAGTTTAAAAAAAAAAAAACCTCTACACACAAACACAGTCTACCATTCTCAATATGTCTAGAGACAAATCTCAACTCTTTACTCAGACCTTTTCAATAC